AAGGCACCATGTCTTCAACCCACTGCTGTGTCTCAGTAACACCACACCTGCTCCTTTGTGTGTCCACGCACCTTAACATTTCTGTGACTTTACCAAATAAAAATTGATGTCCAGAGACCTCCCTCTGACGCCAATCCAATTACAGAGCCCAACACAGAGGAAGCCAGCTACAGTCATTTTATTTGTCTTCATGCCTTGTGGTTCACTACACTTGTTTACAATACAAATACACTACTCAATACAAAATACTCAATGACCATATATTAGTATTTTTCTTCATAGTATCCCTGAAGTGCACAGGCCCTTCCTTTATAAACAATGTTGCATAAACTGCTGTACATGAGACAGACACTACTATAATGAAGTTTTGTTACTAAAAGAAGCCAGATGCAGACAATTCAGACACTTTCCTGTGACGGGTTTAACTTTGGGACAGACAAAGGGTGATGTCTTTGCTGCTGTGAAAGGCTGTTTTATGCTATTCCTGAATCAAGGTTCTCGTCACCCAGAGGCTGGGCTCAGTAACAGGAGCAGACGTGCAAAGTTAAATCCTTCATAGCCCATTTCAGACCTCTGCCATCACACAGTGTAGAAATGACTGTGCCCAGTGACTGTGTCTCATGCTGAGCTTGCGTCCTTCCCTGGACACCGGGAGGGAAGGCAGCGACCCGCCCTGCCTCCACCACTGTGAAAGGCTGGCTCAGCCCAACCAGCGCAGCCCTCGTGCTCTCACCCTGTGGTACCTGTACCTCCTTCCCTCGCTACAGCAAAGCCCCGCTCCCGCCACCGCTCCTTCCACTCGCTCCTCGAGGAAGCAGAACGACCCAAACTTCTTGCCTCGCTTCATGTCCAGGCACATGATGGAGAAACAAGGTTCAGTAGCGAAAAGGAAGATGAAAGGACAACTGGAAAGGCAGATAAGCAGGCATCTCAACCTAGTTTGCCTTCAGCAGCTTACCAAACCAGAAACCTACCCAACATCGATAGGGAACAGGTAACATCCACATGGAAACAAGCCGTTTTCAGAGTGTAAGAGTGGTAGCACAGGATTTTCCCAGTCGTGCTTCGCATCCTGTAGATCATACCGCTTCCCGCTTTTCTGCTGTAGAGTGAGGAAGACACACAAGACCAGAATGTAAATATTGCCAATGGAAAAGATTAACAACCTTAAAATCCTTAAAAATATTTACATTTTCTCAATATAGTATATTTAAAACAATAAGCCATAGACAAAAAGGGGCAAGAGGGTTAAAATAACATGTTGGGTTTTTTTTCCCCCTACAGCACTGTAAGCCGAGAATGGAGGGGTTAAATAAGGGAATTTGGGATTTACACACACCAGGCTGCTTTAGTCTGGTGAGCTCATGGTAACTTAAGCCCCTTCTGTTCACTGCAGCTCTGAGAACTGAACAGGTGCATCTTTCCAGACACAGAAATGAAAAATTCCTAGTTCATGACTGGACAAAATGCCCTTGCTAATGGTGTGCAGCTATCGGAAATGTGAAAGCTGAGTTTCTGTTGTTTCCCTCTGCCCTGCTTGCCCTGGGGAAAAGCCCTTCAGAAGCTTCTTTCCTACCTCACTGCTAGTCATTTGTCAACCCAGGGCAAACCCACCTGGCAACTGCAGCTCTGACACGCTTACTGGTTAAATGTTTCATCCTTTCTGTCAGCCCTTCAGCTAATTTGACATGATACAGTAATTGATACTGCTGGAGTGTGAATTGTTACCCCAGCGATGGAAGATACGGGGATCATTAAGGAAAGCTTTCTTCACATCATCCCAGTGATACAAATAAAGTTTTGCACTGTCACTGAAATCCTGGCAGTGCTTTGGCAACAGGACAGACACTTCAAGTTGAGCAATGCGATTGCAGAGTGGCCAGGAAACTGTCTTTGATGCAGCCTGCACACAAGTAGCAGAGCACCCTTTGGTCCAGGCAATTAATTCATATAAATCATTTGTCATTGATAATATTATTTGTTTTCTAAGAAAAAGGACAGGCAAATGCTCCAAGCCTTGTTGCTGAGCGACAAGATTTGATTAGCATCAATACTGACAAAACAGTCTTTGCAAACTGGGGTACTGTGTTTGGACAGCACATGGGGGTACCAAACTAAAGGCTTGCTGTGGAAGAGCTCAGGGATTTAGTGGTTTTTTACATTAAAAATAAGCCCAAATTCAGATTCCTGAATTCCTCTGAATTCCAAGAGTTAAGAGGGGAGATTTAAAAAAACCAACCAAACAAACAAATAAAGCCCCCCCCCCGCCTTCAAAAAAAACCAACCCCAAACCCCACAACAAAGCATTTTACACTGGAGACACTGGAAGGATGCTGACTGAAAACCAGCTGCTAGTGCTGAACAGTATTTATCTCAATGCACCGTAGCCGGCAGACTAAAGAATTTCAGTAGTAATTCACCATTTCCCTTGGCCAGAATTAATCTCCTCACGCATTCCACAGGTAAGAAGTGGTTATGGTTTAGCTCCACTGTTTACAACTCCCATTCTGTAAGGGTAGTTGAACTTTTGTGCTAAAATAAGTGCACAGCAGAAGCTGCAGAGCAGTCACCACGGCTGGGGAAAGCCTGCCTTCCCCCCTTCACTCCCACACACTTACAGACATCCCTTGCTGCTCAGGCTTTTCAAGCTTCTTTACAAATGCTACTTTTAACATCATAACCTAGCAGCTTATCTGCATTTGTGCATCATCAGAGCTCCTGCCCCAGATCCAAGAATTAATAATTTCAGGTAGTCAAAGTTCATGAACTTTGCAACTTTTTGTTCTTGTGTATTCTTTAAGAACACTCCATCAGTATACAGGTCAGATTCTGTCCTCAGGAACATGTAAGAGGCAGGGCAGCAAAAACAGAGTGTGCTCCTATGCAAAGAAGAGCTAAAGAAAACAGTGAGGAGCCTCAGCTCTTTTGAAAATGAGAAAGCTGGACTATTTAAATGAAAATTGCTATTATATGTGAATAAGATACTAGTGTAAGAAATTGTTCTGATAGTGCTTGCCTCCTGAAGTAATCAGCTTTCCCCAGACTCCACAAAACTACCTCATTGGGTCTACTGAGCTAGAAAAGAGAGACCAGAGTACGACACTAAGACAGTCCTAAGCCAGACAGAATCCCTCCCTAGTGGCTATTTCACACTGAGAGCCCCAAGCCTAATAACCTCGCAGATCACAAATATTCTCTAAAGAATTCAAGCTAAAGAAACTTGTGCACAGCAGTAGGACATCTGAAGTGTAACCCTCATTACACTTCCCCGCCAGCCCACGCAGCCGCAGCGCGATGGGTCGCTAGCAGATGAACGTGACATTCGGAGCAGCTCGACTCGAGCGTTCCCCCAACACAAGCACAGCCCCATTAACCAACTACCACATACAATTTTGGCATTCATGTAAAAAAGGCTTTTAGTTCTGCATATCAGAGGTGTCAGAAAGGCAGGTTAGGAAAGCACACTACCTTCCCCTCTTCCCCTCCTAGTGTTTTGTTTGGGTTTTTTGGTTTTGTTTGTTATTTTTACAAGGGTGGTGGCCCAAACCAAGCCCTCCAATTTCAATCTGCATACCTCAAAGGTTAGGAGTATGGAAATGCAGATTCTGGTTTGTTCCCTTAAGAAGACAAGAAGCTTACCTCAATGTTTGGATCCAGGGCCAGATTCGGAATCACTCCACGGAAACAAAGAGTCTCAGACTGAAGAACAACTTCACATTCCTTTGCTGATGCTCCAGTACACCCATTTCTATGGAAATGGGCACCCTTTTTTGGATAGCGTTCATGCTAAAACAGCTCCTTGCAACCCTAAGTTGAAGTTACTAATGCACATCTTTACACATGAATTATTTCCTACATCTATGTTTTGACAATACACTTAACTGGAATATTTTTTCATGCACAAGGTGTACAAAATGAGTCAATGCAGTGTTTGTTTTTAAACCACTATCATACACATATTTTGTTAAAGGAAAAAGGACTCTCAATCCTTCCAACACAGACAGTATCTGGCATCCGGACTGTGGCACGATGTAGTCTTCCTCCTTTATGTTCCTGTTTGTACAGGGTATGTCAAAGGCTGTTGTACACCTCTGAGGTATGCAGGTGGCTGTCTATTTTCAGGGCACAGTGAAAGTTTCTCTCATGACCATGGTCCTTTAAAACTTCACTTTGGTTCCACTTGACACGCACAAGGACATTCCTACTTTTATAGGCCAGAAGGAATGTTAAAGGGCTTTACTCAGTTTCAGTGCTGAAGCACAGGAAAAATAAAACAAAACAAAAAATCCAGCCAAACAACAGCCCCCCCAACCCAGAATGCCTCATAGCATCTACAGCCATCCTCTGTGCTTCCTCTCCCCTCTATTTCGAGCGATGCAGCATGGCCAGCATCTTTCTATTGCCCTGCCAACACCCCCACAATCACTGCGCATTCAAGGCCTTTCACATATTGGACTGTAGCTGGAACACAAACTTGGGAACGTGTCATCGCGTCACTGTTCAACGCTGTTGTATCCTTTGCAGTTTGGTTAGAGGATGTTCTCCCCAAACCCACTACAACCTCTTCCAGCTGCAGGAGATCTCCAGGTGCTCCACAGCAACCACAGGTTTGGCATGGAAAACCCCAGACATGAAACACTCAAGGCGGTGAGCCGCGGCTTTACACTTAAGCAGAGAACGCACAACTGAGAAAAGCTCACGGGAAGGGCATGACAACGACCATGCATATGAGTTGATGCAACAGCAGCTGGGCCTTGCAGTTAACATCTGTTTCCTGTATCCTCCCTCCCCCTTGTTTCTTTTACTGTATTGGGGCTCTGGTGATTTGAAGCCTCTCGGGTTAGTTGAAATTACGGCTTCGAGGGTGGCACTTCTGGAGCAAGTTGGCACAAAATGGAAGGTAACGCTGTCAGATCCCTTGCTCGTGGTGTATTGGGTAACAGGACATCTCTTCAAGGCTCAGGGGCCACAGGGGGAAAAGTCAAGAGGGTAGAGGGCTCTCATGGCCCCTGCTGGGTTATGTGGCTCTTGTTTCTAAGGACGGGGTCTTCATAACTGCTAGCGCAAGGTGGCGTGGAGGCTTCCAAGGGTAAGCCCTGCTGTTGGTATCCATAGTTGACATTCCCACAAGGGAAGTGGCGGAGCCGAAAGAGAGGCACTTCTTTAACACTTGCTGTTAGGGAAGATGGCTCTAACAGCAGGGAGGAGCCCGGCAGCCTGCCAGTCACAATGTTGGGCCCCACAGTACAGTTTCCTTCCTGTCCTAAATTCTCCCTCTCAGGCATCTCCTTCTCCAGCAGAGAACTGTTTTTACTGGCCTGCTTCTCCGCAAACCAGGAACCATAGGTTGGATTCCAGAGGTTGGTGGGCTTGTTTCTGGAGCCCCGGCTTTTGTGCAGCTCAGAAGGGGGATTGGACTGGGCATAGGCCATGTTGATATGTCCCCCCGCTGAGGCTGACTGCACCTTCCCTGGGACTGGCTGTTCCAAGGCTCCCATTTTCCCTAGAGGTTTTCCAGCAGTGATGGCTGATGGCAGGGGCGGTGGAGATGGCAGAGTTCGCTTGTCATCCTTTCTGTCTTGGTGTGTGGAGACCAAGAGAGGAGGAATTCCTTCTGGATCCTCAGGGCGCATCGCTACCTTCTCCTCCTCCTCAGCTGATGGGCCATATTCTACTGGCAAAGCAGTGTTGATGACATCTGGATCCTGCCGGGGAGAACAATGAGCGTTTCTCAAAGTCTGCTACCATCATGTACACTTGGACTTGATTAAAAACCTGATGCATCTGATGGCTGTCATGCTATGACCACAGAGCATAATTCCCGCTACCCAGAGCCCACATTCCATGTGCAGGGGATGCTGACAAAATGCAGTTAGCCGTAAGATGCAATGGGATACCCTTAAAATTAAACTCTCTCTCTCAAAAAAAAAAGCAACCCTAAAACTCACCACAGAACAGCAGAGAGCACAAAACCAATGAAAAACATTTTTTATGTCCAACGAAATTTCCTGTGGGAATGTTGTTTTGGAATCTATATCATCTCAAAGTTCATAACATTCTCAGATAATATTAAGAAAGTTTCAGCCATGAAAGTATTGCTTCTACACAACCAGGGAGGAATGGGAATGCGGAGAGAAGGCAATACTGGCAGACCCCTTGAAGCCTGAATCCATAGGGACTGCAGTTCTCTTCTATTTAAGCAGTTTTGAAAATTAAACTGAGAGAAAGTGTGGTGATCTGAGCAACCTTTAATTATTGCTAGATGCCATGGCAAGCTACAGATAGGAGAAAAAAAATGCCTCCCAATCCCAGGATCCAAACATGCATGAAAAACAGACCAAGCCTCCCAAACAGTGAGGGAAAGCAAACTGACTGAGGCAAATAACTGTATGAGGCCACACAAGAAGTCTCTGCTGATGCAGGCAGCAAAATGTTTCCCAAACTATTCCACTCCTTATAAGCTAAAAACGGTGGTAAAAAATAACTAATAACTCAGACTTCAGCCTGGAAAGCCAGCCACATCCTTCCCTCACTGCTTAGCCTTAGAATCCCTACTCTTTGGCATGGCTCTCTCCACCTCCCTTCTCCAACACAGCCAGATTCAGAAAACTGCCCACACCTGCAGAAGCCACATGGAGAAGGTGCTCTGAGCCAGAACTATTTCTGCTCAGTGCTGACCACGTCTTAAGGTGGATAGAGTGGCTGACATGAAGCACATGAAGTGCATGTGGGTACTGGCCTGTCTGAGCTCTTTTGCTTGTTAGGCTCTGTGCCTTTAAAGGCAGAAGCAGAGCTACAGATCTGCTATTGGTATGTAAAGCTGTGCAAGCTTGTGCCTTTTGGCAGTGAAAGACAAGAAGGATTAACCACCTGATGGGATAAATATCCCAGCCACTGGTCCCAGGTTGACATGTGTCTCCCTGGACTGCTGACTGCAGTAATGCAGTGCTGCCTTCTCATCTTACGTTCTGGCTCATCTAAACTGCTCCTCAACAACACCCTCTCCACCCCTCTCATTTGAGACAAATGAACACTGATACCTGAGTGCAGTACTCAATCCTCTCCAGGATTATGGCAAAATTTGGCCGGTCTTCAGGCTGGTGCTGCCAACACTGGGTCATAATGCGGTAACTGAAAGAGCAGAATGGGAGATGCTCATAAATTATAGAATCATAGAATGGTATGGGTTGGAAGGGACCTTAAAGATCATCTAGTTCCAACCTCCCTGCCATGAGCAGCTTCTGTAGGCACATAACAACTAGTCACATGAGCTCACATCACCACTCTGACTTTAATAAATAAGTGCTCTGCCTTCCCTGGAGTCAGACAGCTGAAGTACTGGTAATCATGGAAATGTGGCCACCAGTGGGGTGAAATCCGCAGCACATCAGAGAAATAACCTACCCACCTGAAATCCCTTGGGCAATTCACTAAAGGTAGGCAGGGCTACAGATAACAGAGCTCAGTTTTCCCTACCTGTGAAGAACATTATGTACTTGCACTTTCACAGCTAACCTAAGACACAGAAATACTGCACCATCTTTGACTGAACAAACAGCGGCCAGTACTTCTCAAAGGGGCCCTTAGTTCTTCTGCAAAGCACACAGAAAAATTAACTCGAAGTCACAGGCACTTAAATTCAATAAGACAGATCAGCCAAGATAAGATCAATCTTAGAAGTGATTAACTTCTAACTAGAGAACAACATCCAAAACAGAAACTTATTTGTATGAATATATCAAAGTGAAAATCTCATACACAGGCCCAGGGCAGTTTTTAGGTGGATCCATCCTTCCTCCATTGGTTACAAACTCCAGAACCTCCTGGTTACTTTTGCTAGGGTAGGGCATGTATCCCAAAGAGAATATCTCCCACAGCAACACACCGAAGGACCTGAGTACAGAAGGGAAGGAAAACAAAGTGAAGGATACGGGAATGACGATCACCAAGGGGCAATGCCCTTCGATGCAGTACCATCAGCATTGCTCTTTGCAGTCTATGCTCAGGCAGCTTCTGGAAATCACTGCTACAGGACTCAGACAGAAATAAGCTGCAGAGTTGCCACGGTGGACTTTGAATCATTTAATGAATGCTAATCATTGACTGTTAAGTGAGTGAAGTCTACGATATAGGTAGGTAAATCTGGTTGCTTTGCCCTGGTACTCAGCACTTTTCAACTCGACGTAACAAATGTGAAAGTCAGGCTATGCTTTTCTCTGACATCCGCCACTGCTGGAGGCAGAACTGAGTGGAGTCTGATCACTTACGACAAACTTTTCCTCTTGATTAAGCCACTGTGCGTGAAATAACATGCCAGTGAATCCCCACTGCTGCTCTGAGCCCCACAGCCCCCACCTGCAGCTCAGAGTACAATAAAAACATTCCCCAGCTAACATCAGTCCTGGGCCTGTGTGGTGTGGTGTGGCCTGCCAAGCCCTGGGGACAGTGACTGAGACAGGACCCCCTCCAAACTATTCATCGGGTCAGCTGTTCGGAAATCACCATCTTGCTGATTAAAATTGTGAAGAGCTATTTGCAGCAATGGAAACTTTTGTGCTTGGTGCTGAGACAGGAGCAGGTCAGTGGCGTGAGAGCGTGACCCCACCCCTCTGCTGGGCTTGCTCAGGAGCTGTGTCCTGAACGCCAGCCCCTTCCCCTCCACACACATGCCCAGCTCTTGCCTCCTGCTCACCCAATTTCTCTCCCCCTCTTCTAGCCACCGGCAACTCAAGAGCTTACACTGCTGCTGCAGGCCAGGAGAAAGATGAAAGCCATCATGTATGATGCCTTTCTCCCTCACGGGCAGGAATGGATCCTGCCTGCAGCCTTCTGTGCTGCTTTCCTCAGCGTGGAACTAACACTTTCCTCCCTGTAGCAGCAAAGCAGCACCTGCATCTGCCTCAGCCTCCCTTCCCTGCCTGCTCACCTCCCCAGCAGCACCCACCTTTGCACAGGTCTGATCTTTCTGTTCCCTTGTCTCCTCCAAGATTACTGTCTCTGAAAGACCCAGCTTGTCTTTTTAGTAAAAGAGAAATTAACAAGAACACGTGTTTTTCACAAAATATTGACACTTTACAAAAGGGGTTACAACAGACAGACTGGAAAGAGAAGGAAAGGAAACGCACCATGTGTCTGTTTTGGATGTAAATATCCCTTCCATGAAAGCCTCAGGAGGCATCCATTTGACAGGCAACATTGCACACCCACCCTTCCGATAGTAGCTGGCTCTGCAAAGAACAAACAAAACAAAGAGTCAGCCAAGAATCCAGGCAGTGTCATTAATTGGGGATTTTTATAGTTACAAATATTAAAATTGTGAGGAGAGACTAATTTAGGTAAAAGAGCATGGCAGAGAAAATGCTGAAGAGACCTGTTCTTTCTCACGAAAATAGTGGCAATGGGCAGACAGACCATTGAAGGACTGCTCTCATCTCCCTTCGCTTTAGGCCTGATCTGGTGAACCCAAGTTATCCTTAACCTGCGTGCATATTCCTTGTGAATTACTGTCACAGCAAACTGCTGCTGGCAGAGCTATCCTCCTGCACAGCAAGATCTCCACCTCACATCACACATGGTCACCTTAAGCATCCCCACCAAAAAAACCCAAAGCCTGTCCGATACGTACCCACTCCAAAGCATTGCAAAATGAAATCCAAAACAGGGGTTGATGAGGAGGATGCTTGGCCATTAGAGCTGGAGCAGTAGTACCAAAACCACCTCCTGTGTTCCTGAGACAGGAAGTACATCTGTCCTTTAGTGTTGTCATCACTTAAACCAAACCTACAAGCCTCAAATCCTGTGCTGGCAGCTGCAGGAGGCTGCTTATGCAAGCTGGTATCACTGTTCATAACTACACAGCCACAGCATCCAAATGATATATATTCCTGGACACAGAAACATCTGCAAACTTCAAAAGCACCTTTGAAAACTCAGCACCAAAGCGTTCATCTTGGCAGTTGGTCCTGCTGATTGTGTGAGTGTGACAGATGCTACTTTGTCCCAGCAGAGTCCCATCTGACAGTGGAGTAGAATGGAGGCTCTTTGTAAAGGAAGAGAGAGGAGGCGACGAAAAAAAAAAAGCACCTCTGATACACTTGGGTTTTTGAAGGTAGCACTCTGTTTGCATCACCTCAGGCTGTGATACTGTCAGATCTTAAGATAAGTAGAGCCAGACCTAGCTTAGTAATTGCACAGGAGAATCCCCAAGCAGGAAAAAAAGGAGGCAAGGCACTGGAATAAACAGTGCAGGTGACCGAGTACAAGGCATTCCTTCCTCCAAGTCAGAGGCAAATCAATTCCTCGGCACAGCAGGACTGGGTACTGCACTTCTGGAGGTGCTGTCTGGAAGAGGAGATATCAAACTGCAGCCCTGACTGCTTGTGGTCATTAAAGATTTCCTGGCACTTTTTGCCAGAGCACAGTAGTTAACCCTGTGTCCTGGCTGAATTCCAGTCTGGGTGATTACAGTTTCCTGACCTTCCTCTGCACCTTCCTCTTTTATCTGCAGTAAATTGAGGAGATTTATTGATGACACCAAACCAAAGGGGTGGGGGTAGTAACAAGGAGAGAGACTAAACTCAGAATGATTTGGGAACACAAAACAGAAGGGCACTTCAATGCCATTCAGTGTGGAGAAAGTAAAGACTAGAAACTGAGGACAAAGTACAAGAAGGAGGAAAAATGTTTTCCATGACCATCAGACTTCATGACTCTACCAGGTGACCCGAAAGAAGAATGAATTCACATGGGGTCCTGAGCAACGATGAGTCTTTGAACAAATCAAACAGGAGATAGTCCATGCAGTAGCTCTTGGGCCAGTCCAGACAGGACAAGACGTTAAAAATGTGCTCTACACCGCAGGTGGAGACAATGGACTAACCTGGAGCCTCTGGCAGAAAGCACCAGGGGAG